CTCTCTCTCTCTCTCTCTCTCTCTCTCTCTCTCTCTCTCTCTCTCTCTCTCTCTCACACACACACACACACACACACACACACACACACACACTATCTCTCTCTCACATGGATGCCTGTGAGCAGGAGCAGATGGCAGTAGGAGTTGGAGTGGAATTTGCTCAGACAGACAGACAGACAGACAGACAGACACACACACACACACACACACACACACACACATACACACACTCACATGGATGCCTGTGAGCAGGAGCAGATGGCAGTAGGAGTTGGAGTGGAATTTGCTCAGACAGACAGACAGACACACACACACACACTCACATGGATGCCTGTGAGCAGGAGCAGATGGCAGTAGGAGTCGGGACAGCCCAGCCAGCAGTTCCCAAACAGCCCAGGCTGGGGACTGTGAAGGTGGCATGTGGTTTGAAGTGACTCTGCCTCCCACAGGAACACCAGCCCTCCGAGAGAAAACAAAACATTCACAGTCTGAAGCCTCTCCATGGCTTGAACTTCAAGGAAAATTTAATCATAACAGCAGCCAAGACTTACATGGTGTCAGTTCTCTTCTCAAGGCTTTTCTTGTGGATTTGAATTACTTAGAACACATGTATTTCCCAAGTGTTGGGAAATAAGACAAAAGAATATCTTTGCTGGGGTTTGTTTCAGTAACGGTTAAGCCCAGATGGTGTAGTGAATAAAACACATGTTACCTTTCCAGCCTGCTGATTCCCTGTTTACCTATAAATCTGAGGCTCTTAATCTGCCTGGGTCCCTTGGCAAGGAGGTCAGAAGTCATTGTCACTCTCATCCAGGGGCTCGGGTTTCCGGACCCTTCGACTGGGCTTGGCTGGCGAGAGAGCAATGCTCTCATCCTCCAAATCGTCGTCGTCTTCTTCGTCGTCCTCCATGTCGATTTCACTGTCCTCTGAGTCTTCCTGAAGCAGAAAGACGGCAGATGCACTGAGGTGCTAGCTCACTGTGCCCTCTTTCCCTAGAGACTCCACTTCACTCTCAAGGACAGTGCAAGAACCAGCAACACCCCTAGAGTGAAAGGCTGTGGGAACACAGCACAGGCCAGCTGGACACCCCCCACTAGACCGAGGCTATAGCCAGTAACTCAACACCAGCCTTTACCCGGGGTGTCCAGCCAGGGTCGGCTTTCCATGGATGTCTTGGGAATACCCTTCCCACATGCTGAGGAACCTAGATGCTGAATGGCTCCTGCAGTCTAGAGACCCAGCAGACAGGCAGACAGCAAGAAGGGCAGGGAAGGGAGGCCGATTCCAGCTGGAGATGGAACGCAGCGCAAATGTGGACAAGAAGAAAAGGTGAGGGGTACCCAGCTCCTGCATGGTCTGGATCCAGGGAGCACCAACTCGACTTGTCATTTTTACAGCAAGTCCTATGTCCGTGTAAACCAAGACAGCTGGCCACCCAGTCCAGATTTTCCCAAGAAGTACATACATGTTAGAATTCTCTCTCTTTTTTTTTCCTCCCAAAGCTGAGGACCGAACCCAGGGCCTTGCGCTTGCTAGGCAAGCGCTCTACCACTGAGCTAAATCCCCAACCCCTAGAATTCTCTTCTTTAAACAACTACCCCCTTCTCCGGCTACCCTGCTCTGCTGGCTTCGCTCCCAGCAGAAATCCTTGGGAAAGCCAGGCCTATGGTAGTACAAGCCTACAATGCCAGCACTCCAGAGACTAAGGCAGGATGACGGTGAATTGGGGGCCAGCCTGAGCTACACAGAAAGACTCTGTCTCACAATGGAAAAAAAAAATGAAGACTGAACTCCTTGGGCAAATTGCTGTACTCAAGTGTCCCCAAGTGTCCCCCTCCCATTATATGAACACCACAGGCTCTATCCCATAACCCCACACCACTCTTATCAAGCTAAAGGATTCCAATCCAGTGGGACCCACAGTCCTTCCCACCTTCTCCACCCACCCCTTCTTCCCTGAAGTCCACCTCCCCACCTTGCATGCAAACCCTGCAGTGTGCCCTCTATGTCCTCTATGCCTAGCTCTCTGCACAGTGTGCTCCAGCTCCTTTGCTGGTTCTCTGTAATTCTCTGGCTTCTGCACTATGCAGGTAGCTCAGGCCTCAGGCCTCCCCTTTTCTCTTCCTGCTCTCCAAACAGTGCAGTCACATTTTATCATGGCTCCCATCTAAACATGGATGGCTCCCAAGTTCCACTTCTGGCCCAGCCCTGTTTCTTAGATTCCAGACTTTTCCTGATCTACCCTCTCAGCCCCTTCCTCAAGTCATCTCTGTCTGGGGAAGTTAAAACCCAGGCTTTCCGTTAGTTCCACGGAAGCATTCTGCATTTCTCTCCTTCATCATGCTGGTATAATCAACTAACAAAACAAGATGGTCAGACCTCAGAAACACCCAGAATCGGACTGCTTCTCAGTACCAACACCACCGTGGCCTCCGGCTAAAACACCCTCACCTCCAATCTACACAGCTGCACTTGCTGCCTCAGTTTCTCCTTCCTGGGCTGACGATCCTCCGGGATCTCCCAGCTCAGTTTCTCCCTCCTGGGCTGACGATCCTCCGGGATCTCCCAGCTCACCAGGTCCTCTTCCCATCCCGCACAGTCTGCATTGCTCCCGCTGTCTCTCACCGCTCTTGGCCAGTCCTTCCATCCTACCACGGCCTCACTGTAGGGGTCCACACTCCCTAGGCCCAGGGGCTCTGCCCACCCCAACATGGCTCCTACTTTCACTCATTCAGGTCTCTGCTTCAATTTCTCATTAGAGAGGCCTTGCCTGAACATGTGAAAAGATCCCTGTCACTGTCATGTCTCTAGAAAGTACTTTATTTATTCCCTAATACCTATGACTGTGGTATGTCTGCTTGACTGTTACTAGAACGGATGTGTCCCAAAGGCAAGGCCTGGTTTCTCCCTGCTGCATTCAGGACCTGACACTGATAGGATCTATCAAATTCATGTTGAACAAACACAAAAGCCAAGCCCCATGACAGAGGAACTGTGTCAACACAGTCTCCATGAAATAAACCAGTGGGAAGACCCAAGCCATTCAGACACATTCATTCTGAAAAGCATGCATGCAGATAAAGCGGAACAGACACCACTTTCCAGGAAGCACTGGTTCCCTTAGGCCAGATGCTCCCTGCCTCAGACTCAGGTGGACAGGGGTGGATGAGCGCTACCTTATCATGAGCATCCTCTGTTAAAAAGAAAGTTGTTGTTGAGTGACTTCCCTGCCTCTCTATCGAAGCTTCTCTGTGTCCTGCCCAGCAAGACAGAGCCAGCTTACCCCTGTGAATTTAAGTGACACTGCACTGTCATACAGAGCATAAGGTCCTCTTCTGACCCTGTGCGGGCACCGGTGCCACACCCCAGACATAGGTCTGTACCTTACAAACTGTCCTGGGATTGTGCCTCTCCAGGAACCTTTGCTACATGGGCCGACCAGTATTGCCAGGGTCTGCAGTGGAGCCAGGGACTGCAGTGGAGCCAGGGTCTGCAGCATTGCCAGGGTCTGCAGTGGAGCCAGGGTCTGCAGCATTGCCAGGGTCTGCAGCAGAGCCAGGGTCTGCAGCATTGCCAGGGTCTGCAGCGGAGCCAGGGTGCAGAGCCCAGCAGTGTCTGCCCAGCCGCATTCTGAGAACCACTGCCCTTTCTGTTCTCCAGTCAGTTGTCTACCTGGTGGAGTTCAAGGCACCAGCAGCCTGACCTCGGCCTCCTGCCGGGCCCTGGTCTAGGAGGACACCTTTCATGTTCTTGCTCTAGAATCATAGGATGGTGCTGAGGAAAGGTTGGTGCTGGGCCATGGCCTTGGCATCAACATTTCATATTGATCCAGGTTATAATTCAGGACCTGATGACTGCCCCACCTTTCTCATCTTTGGTCTTGGTGTCTGACCCTCCTTGGTATGGTAATGCAAGAGACCTGCCTCTCTCGCCACGGCATCTATTCTGAGGGCTTCCTGCCCGAGAGAGGAAGCATCACCCCGGAGGAGAGAGGCTCTGCTGGCCCTGAGCAGGCTGACACACACCAACAAACAGATGAGGCAAGAAAAGAAAACCAACCTGCTTCCTGGAGCTGGGAGTCTTGCATTTACCTAAGAGGGCTGGTGCTGCTTCCGTCTTTGGAAAGCGAGAATGGAAAGAACAGTGAGAAGGTGGAAAAAAAAAAAAGGGCGAGCATATTTGTGTGAAATGAGAAACAAGCTGCTGCAAACTGTCACATCAAGCAGTGTGCTGGGAACAGGTCGTCGCTGACTGCTGCAGCACCTGAGCTAGTCTACAAGGACAGCCCCAAGACCAGGAGGCACAGGAATGGCAAGAAGGAATGGCACTCACATCTTCGTCGGAGTCTCCACCTTGCATTGTGCCCACGATGCGTTTGCTGGGCCTTCCTGAGAACAACAAAAACACGACATTATGAGATCCTTGGAAAAGATGGCAGGAAATGACATTTCAGACTTGCTTTCCCTTGGAAGGCTGGGGAAATACTAAAGTACATACTAAAAAATGTACTTAAGTAAGTGCCAACTAATTAGGATTACCACAAATAGTAATAAATTTCCTGCACCCCTTTCCTCCTCATTTTGAGAAAGAAACTCACAATATAGCTGAGGCTGGCCTTGAACTCTTGATCCTGCCATAGCCTCTACAGTGCTGGTGTTAAAGGTTTGTGCCACCATGCCCAGCCCTGCAAGTCTACTTTGAAAGACGAAAAGGGCAATAAAATTCAGTGTGTGACAGTGTACATCTGTAATCTCAGCACTCAGGGCCTGAAGCAGGAGAATTACTGGGAGCTGAAAGCTAGCTTGAGGTACAGAATGTGCTGTACCATGTCTCAACAACAACAAAAACTAATGAAAAGATAAAATCCGCATGGGCTGGCCAGATGATTCAGCAAGCCTAATCACCTGAGTTCAATCTCCAGAACGTATGTGGTAGAAGGAAAAAACTGAGTCCCAAAAGTTTTCTCTGGATATGTATGTGCCCATGTGTGCACGTACATGTGTGTATACTGAATGAATGTAATAAAATTTACATACAAAAATTATACATGAAGGTTGGGGGTATAGATGAGTGGGAGAACATTTATCCATTTGCTTAAGGCCATGGCTTTGATCTCCAGCACCACAAAACAACCATGAATCAAGAGTGTCTGTTTGTCAGAAAATTAATTTTTTAAAAAAGCTGCTTAGCCAAGAACCTGTCGCAGACTGGTGAAGATCAGGAGATCTGACAGCTTACTGCAGGACAGAATACAATGCGTGTGGATCCTGGAACACAGGATGGTGTTAGTGAGAAACCAGCAATGTCCTGACTATGGCCTCCTGAATAAAGTAGAATAGGAAGGGCGTGGTGGAAACCCTAGTCCTGCTCTTATCTTACTGGGAAAGCACCCAGACTCTCCTAAGTATGTCGGTTATGGAATTTTCCTACGCAAGCTTTCTCAGGTTGAAAAAGTTCCATTCTGGGTTGGGGATTTAGCTCAGTGGTAGAGTGCTTGCCTAGCAAGCACAAGGTCCTGGGTTCGGTCCTCAGCTCTGGGGGAAAAAAGAAAAGAAAAAAAGAAAAAGTTCCATTCTGTTCCTAGGTTTAAAAAAAAAAAGTGTCTTTGTTTTTCAAGACAAGGTTTCTCTGTGTAGCCCTGGCTGTCCTGGAACTTACTCTGTAGACCAGGCTGGCCTTGATCTCACAGAGATCTACCTACCTCTTGGGATTGGGATTAAAGGTGTGTACCACCACCACCCAAAAATAAAGAGTATTTTTAAAACACATCCTCTGAGTATTGAGGGGGGAAAGATCACTGAACTCCATTATTAGTTTACATGCAGTAGAACTTTCATGGTAAAAAGCTGTTGAAAAAGAAAATCTTAGCCGGGCGGTGGTGGCGCACGCCTTTAATCCCAGCACTTGGGAGGCAGAGCCAGGAGGATCTCTGTGAGTTTGAGGCCAGCCTGG